GACGAGATGAATATTCATTAATTTGCAACGCGATACGGCGGTACATTAGTTTGCGCTCAACTTCGTGGCGCGCAGCAGTTGCCGCCGGAGCAAGTTTATTTAGCCTAGGCTGCAAGTGGGTCAACCGACGTGTACCATGCCCGACGGTATGTTGATGCATTTGATGCACAAAGTGCAATTTCATGCGACGAGGTGCGCAGGGGCATTTTCTCTCTTCGACTTTCAAACTTGATGCATGTCAAGTCGATATTCTCTTGAAACAATTGCATTCTCTATGGTGACAGATGAGATGAAAAAAAGTGGAGCTTTCAGAAAAATTAACGCTCCAGGGAATGGGTTAAAGTTGCCGAGCGGAGAGTTTTCTCTTGTTTGACAAGTAGAACTCTCAAAACTAGACTTGTGGCGAAGAGTATTATGAGGGCGCCTCTCTAATGAGTTGGCACAGCGCAAACTTTTCTCAGAGCCATGTAAAAATTGTGTAGCCACATCACAAGCTTGCCTTTGCTACTAGGAAACGATTCAAAGAAATAAAATCCAATAGTACTGATTGCTTAATATTTAACTCACTTCCAATAAAAATGTTAAAATGATCAAAGATACAGAGGATCGAATTATTTATAAAATAAGAGAAATTGTTTACAAAAATCAGTTCTATGACATGAATGAGTTATTTATCTGCAAATTTGAGTGAAAATTGTCCTTAGAATTATATCAAATGACGTATTCGAAAATTTTTCAATGCCTTGATAATGAAATGAAAAAAAAACATCTCTTCTGTTTTAAAGAGAATAAAATGAAAAAAAGTATTAGGGAGAAAAGTGATTATTATTTTTTTGGTTTTGTTTAAAAACGCTGTTCTTCATATTAAAAATCATCATTTCTGGGGTGAAAAAAAAACGAAATTAATTGTTTAAACCCTCTCAATTTTTAACGATGTCTGAAAAATCTGTTTGAAAGAATTATAAATAAACCTTGCGTGTTTTATACAAAAAGTCTAATCAATCTTTCTTATTTATTCTATTTTCCTTCTTTAATTTAAATTATGAGGCATGTTAACTTTGTAGGAGTTTTCTGCTTTTTTTTAATATTTCACATTTTTACGGTTATAAAATAAAACAGCTAATTATACTAGGATGTTGTTCTCTGACAGCGAGTCTATGTATTCTAGATTATTAATTTTAACGCAAATTCCAATATTTTACTATGCACGAAGCTAGCTTCTGGTTAAGGGAAGCATCCATTATTAACTAACCACTATGCCAACGAGTTTATTTGAATCGACACACGCGCGTCCAACTCAGCGTGAATATTCCTCAACAGGGTAAACATCTCGACAGCCTCTCGAATATTTGGTTGAACGTGTTTCAAATTTCGTCGACGCAACGTCTGAGCTTCTCAATTATTGTTTTAAGGTGGTTTGATCAAAGGCGAGCATCGAGGCGCGGGCATCACTTTGTTTGCTGCGCGCCTTGATAATGTGCCATTTGCCGCGTCTTGCTCACCCTTTCATTAGCTGCCTGCCAGTCGAGCCTGCACCCCGTCGCCGTGCATATGCATTTACTTGCGCTAAGTAAGAGGATTATTTGCCAGCAGCTCGTGAAATACTCGGCGCACATATCCCGCACGAAAGCTTGCTTGCGGCGCGCAAATTAAACCGCAGTAGTTATTGTTGACAGATTTCGCTCCCTCCGCGCTCAAAGCACGCAGCAGCTTGATTGGCGCGGATGCGAGAATTCTTCGCTCGGGAAATTCACCCTCCGAATTTTCCGGGCAATTAATTTATATCACGAAATAAATGGGTGAAATTGCTTCAGCGGCACCACCAAACGTTTTAAAAGTGCGAACAGAAGAAACTAAATAAAATTACAATTCGTTTTATCACATGGTGATTTTCTTTTCCTTTAGTTTTTTTAATAGATAATTTCATTGGCTTTAAATATCCCTAAAAATATTTTGAAACATATAATTAAATTAAGCAAACTTGATTATAAATAAAGATAAGCGCTGATTGATTTACTTTATACAATACTTTTTAAATCAAATAAATGAAGTACAAAAATGTTTTAAATTTGTATATTAAATTTTATGAATCTGTATTAACGCAAATGATAAGAAGTTAAAAGTTCCATGTCCATATCATAGTTGAAGCTGCAAAAATTAATTAAACATTTCACATATATACTAATAATAAGAGACGTTTTCTTCTATTATTCTTCAATTATCTAGCACCTCGAACTAAATTATTTGGAGAGTGGCTTTTTCAGTTCTGTGCATGCTTGTTCGCTTCAAAAGAAATCTCGCTGCCTTTAAAGAGCGCATCTGTCTTTTCCTTTCTTTTGCGATCCGCCTCGAGAGTGAGAGGGTTGATTTACATGTGCACAAAAGAATGAAAGCTATGCTGGTGCATTATTCCCTCGCGAATGCTCTGCAGTAAGAATTTATACACCAGTCGAGAACACGTGTGGTTGGACGAGAGAACTGATCCCCCGTTTTTGCCACAGCACTTTTGTGCCTCGCGACCGACTACTTTTTAATATGGGCAGACTCTCGGTTCCTGCTTTTTCCTTTGTTGGCCGATGTGTATAATGCGGTCCTCGTCTTCCTCTATTCACGGTTCGCGATACTTGAAATGGATATTGGGAAACAGTAGACGCGGTGGCGGCGGCGAGGGCCCCTTTCCGCCTCTCCGCCCCCGCCGTCAGCAGAATATCAACCACAATATTTGATTTCTGGCTCGTCGCTGAATCGCACAAACGCCGCCGCCGTCACTTTTATTTCGCCGACATTCCGCCTGAATTTGCATTTTTCTGTTATTTTCCTGCTGATCGGCAGAATTTTCCGCTTTTTCCTGCCGCTTAATTTGCCTTTCATGACGCCCGTGTTCACATCAGCATTCTCCTTGACGATCAATTAATTTCAAGCTTCAAAAGCTCAATCGTCTTATATTTTCTGTCCAAAATAAAGCAATTTTTTTTATTTTGATGGCCGCAAGCTAATCAACGAGAAGAGTGCTTGTTTATTTTCTGCCTGTTTACATAATATTCAAATCACTAAATGAATTCTTCCATGCTGCTTCTGTTTATTTTGTTTCAAACAGAACATGCTACGTGTGTATTTTCCGCGCCCATTAGTTTTATTAGCAGAATATCGAATTGATCAATTTCGTTCCAGAACTAATTACATTTCCAACCTGATTGAAATAGCGCAACTAGCAATGAAAATTAAAATCGTTGCGAAAGAATATTTTAAATATCGGAATTCTCCAGACCTATTTTTACCCAGCAATTACCAATGCATTATTTTCTTTCTTTTTCAATAAGAGATTATTTTCAATGTAAAAAAAACCATAATCAAAAATTATTGTCAGCACAGATTAAATAATTTTATATAAAAAAACCAATGCCGAAAACATGAAGCAAATAGCTTAATCCAATATAATTTTACTGAATCGCAATTCAACATTGATGACAAAATGACTTTTGAAGCGTTCGATCGCTTACCATCACACGCACTATTCAAAACAGTTTCTTCCTTTTCTTTTCACTGAACTTAGAGTTTCAATTTGATTGTTATTTTGACTAATTTATGAAATATTTGGACGATCAAACAAGAATAAAATTTTTGTTATCTATACTTTTAAAAATTCTGGAAATAATGATCCTGCTGCAGCGCAATTCAATTAAATTTGAGTGCCAAATTCCAGCACAGTCAAATACTAGAGGGTCGAGAGAGATTAACAATTCAACAAAATCAAAATATTCACACATATTTGATTGGTTGTTGAATCCTCTCGCGAATAAAAACGGACCAAGCACCATGAAAAAATCGACAAACAAATGAATCTGCGTGGAAATTCATCGGAGCAAAATCATCAATTTTATCTGCGAGCGATTTTGCCGAACAGCAAAACCGGCACCACGGGCTAAAAAAAGCAGCACATGTCCTACAAAATGATACACGGCAGGCAAAAAAGACGGGGTGGACGCAGGTGGGTGCTGCATTTTGAATTCCGCCACGACAAAAACATCCCTTGCTTGTTTTAGGCTCCACCGGCAAAAAAACAGCAGCGGCAAATATATACATTTCATTTGCACGCGAGAGCGAGCGAGCGACGCTTAAAAAGAATTTAAAGTTGCCGGCAACAGAAATCGTTTGTTCAGGGATCTGAATTTGCGGCTGAAAGAAACATTTTACTGGACGAAACGCGGAAAAACTGTATATCAAAGGAATGCGTGCGTTCATTAGCGGTGTACATTTTATTTCGAGCTCCAACTCGTCGTTCGCTTTGTAATGATGACATTTTTAAGCTCATTACAAAGAGGATTTTGTATTAATTAATCCGCGGCACGGTGCAAGTCACGCTGGTAAACGGTTAAAGGCCTTTTTGGCATGCGAAATTTCTGTTATTATCAAATTCGCCATAACGTTCCCTAAAAAGGGAGACACCGTTGATTAATTAACCATTTGATCAAAAAGCAAAATTGCAAAATTTATTTTCCATGTGGTTTCAAGCGGTTTCAAGTTATTTTGCAGTTTTCAAAGCAAAAGAGAATATTCAACTTACACACTAGAATATTTGTTGGGGAGGAGGGGGAGTGGAAGAACTGATTCAAAATTTCAAATTACGGCCTTTTAGCTTCGGATAAATTAAATTACAAGAAAAAGCTCACATTTTTTTTTTTAATTTTAGATTAAAGATTTAATAACGCAGTAATGGGGTCAAAATATAATATTCCTTTTGAAAACGCTTTTAAAATTTTCAGGAATAAAGAAACTAACTCTGACAAAGAGAAATAATTTTTAAATAAAATAAATCCTTTAAATTAGTTTAAATCGATCAAATAGATCTTAAAACACAAAATTTGTTTTGGTAATTTATATTATCTGATCATAAATTATAAATTATTTTAAATGTAAACGCCCTTTCTCTCCTATCGCAATTAAATTAATCAAAAAGTTGACTAAAAACAGAAATTTTCAGCAATTTCGTCAATTCCTACCTTGAAAGGCAGCCTCGAACTGCAGTTTGGGCACAGAGGTCACGTCTTCCGGAGTGTCAGAGGCCGCGGCGAGGACCGCGAGCCCACTTAGGCAGACCAGAACGGCGGCCGTCGAGGGCATGGCTGAGTAAATATTTCTCCAACCGCACGAAACACGGGAAATATTCAAAATGTGGCCGAGATCGAATGAAAAACTTGACACTTTTAACAGTCCGCGACCTGCGGCGCCATCGGCGGGCGCCCTGACTCGCTCGACCTGAGGATTTGTTCTTGCCAGGGTTGCGGAGAGCGACGAAGGTGCACGTCCAGGTCGGCCGACACGGCAAAATCGACTGGTGGGTCCGCGGCCACGGCGCCAGCGCTGAAACTAGTTTCGCGGCGCAGCGTGAGAGGGTGGTGCGGCCCAACAAGAACGAACACGATGAGGCATTCGTCCTTTCCCCCTCAGACGAAAAATTTCGTCAAGAGGTATTTTTGACTGACTCAATGCGAATTAAAAGATGCACGCAATATAATTATTTATGTATTTATAATGATTTACTTTGTTTGTAATTTAAATAATTAAAAATTTATTATATTATTATTTATTTATTTATTTTTTAAATTAATTACTATCAATTTATTTACTATATTGTTATTTTATTATTTGTTAATATACATCTAATTATTTATTTTATGTCTAAAACAATGCATTCTAGAATCAATTTATTCTTTGAACCAAAGATCTTAATATGACGTTTCAAATTTATTAATAATAAAATGTTGTTGCTTTCCCCCGTCGCGAAAATTGTTTGCATTCACAAATAAGAGCCACACAGTTGTTTTTGAATAAAAACAATTTCTGCAGCGAGGAAAAGCCATTTTTCCACGATCATCTCCTCCAATGTCAATTTTTCCAAACAATAATTTTCATTTTGTTAATTTGTTAACGTGAGTGCGTGTGTTCTTTTTGTAATATTTAGTGTAGAGTGTATATTCCAGTTTCCGTTTTAATTTTCTTAAATAAATTTTAACGTTTGAATTTGGAAACTGAGCGAGAATAAGAATGCTTAGAAAACGAATAAAAGCGTCAAAATTTCAACTTTTAATTGGAAATTTTAATTCTTTTCAGAAAGATGAGGATTTCTGTTTCCAAAACAAAGGCAAACGGCAACACTGATTTTCTTTTGAAAAGTATTTAAATATAGATAAAACTTTATTACTTTTTTTAATTCTGGCGTGTTATTTCCAGTGAATTCTATCGGTAAATATCGGTATCATATCAAGTGATATAATTATACTTGCATTAATTTTATTTTAAAATTTGGACAATGTAAAAATGATAAAAACTACGTCATACGTTATTTGTACGTATTTGTGTAAATAAAAATATTAAAAATAAATTTCAACCACATTCTAAATTAGGTTCTAAAATTGTAATATTCGTTTAAATAAATATGTGTATTAAAAAATAATTTTAGTATTTAATTTGTATTGTGCATACATAATATTAGTACGAAGGTGTAGCCAGCAGGCGGCAGCACTGCTCGTGACGTAATCCGGTCATATGATAAAGACCCGAGTTTGTCTGCGGCCTGCGATCGATTTTGCCAATTCGCAACACATTTCGCCTGAAATTTCGAAAAAGAGGTCAAAAGGTCAGCTGGAAGGATGGTAGGCGCACTCTTCAACATCGACGGAGGCTACCTGGAGGGACTTTGTCGCGGATTCAAATGCGGTATCCTCAAACAGGCCGACTATTTGAACCTCGTCCAGTGCGAGACCCTTGAAGGTACGCAATTAAAACTTAAATATTTACTGAAACCCGACTCTTCTAACCTCAAACCAAGATAATTTTCAAATTTACTTGCCTGCAGAGTTAAATTATGATGGAAATTGTTTTTATTGTTTGTGGAAGAAATTTGCCCAGTTTTTAAAAGCTGCACCCTCATTGTTTATGTATCCATATTGTTCCTGTGATTTTATTTCTTGAACTGTCTTCGATCATGATTTAATTTTAATTATATTAAAAATTATTCCTCAGATTTGAAACTGCACCTGCAAGGCACAGACTATGGCAATTTCCTTGCAAACGAGCCGAGTCCTTTGGCGGTCTCGGTCATCGACGACAAACTCCGGGACAAACTGGTCATCGAGTTCCAACACATGCGAAATCACGCTGTTGAACCTCTCTCCACCTTCCTCGACTTCATCACGTTAGTTTCATTAATATACTTTTAAATGAGCAAAAAAAATCATGATAATTGATACACTGAACCAACCTTAGGCCGGAGGTGGCACTAAGCTGGTTCCACGGCGGGACTAAGCATCGGCCGGCCACCGTACTGGCCTAAGTCCCGTCACCGCTCTACCTTAGTTCTGCTGCCACTCTTACTAGAGCGGCCACCGCTCTTGCTTAGAGCTGTCACAGCTCTAAGAAATTTTTCGTCACCAAGCAAAGGAAATAGTATTTACAGTTGTTTTCATTGCTTATATTGTTTCCCACTTTGTTTGTGCGATAAAAAAATGAATAAAAAATCATTTTTATGTCAACAAAATTGAGGGTGCCCCACAATTAATCAACTTTTAATTAGCCACTAATTTTAAACGGACAGAGGCATTTAAATAAATCTACTTATTTATTTCTCGGTAAAAGACTCAATTTCAGCTGTGGTATCGTTTTTGGTGCAATGAGTCGGTTGTTCATTGTAAAAATAATTTATTGTTGTTAATAGCAACAAATCAACTATAGGAATTTCGTTTTAATTTTCACTCTTTTAAAATCGGATAAATTGCTTGTAGGGCTAAAATTTTTCGGGGAACACGATTCTGAATTCAATTTTCTATTACCATCAGTCCAAATCAATTTACAGCCTCTTATTTTATGAAAATCACTTTTCATGTTGAATAATTGACTTTATCTGTCGATTGACCTTGATGAGTTAAAAGTCATTATTATTTTTTCATTCTTCTGCATTTAATTTCTATCGATTTTGTTAAATTTGAGAAATCGTAAAATTTATTAAAAGTAATATGATATAGATAATTAGTTTTTCAGAAATAAAATTAAATCAAGTATCGAATAAATTAAAAAAAAAATCTATAAAATAATAAAACTCTTCAGTTTATTTCATAATGAAATGTTTTGAGATAATTTCCAAATCACATTTTCTATTGCAAAAATATTTATATCTCGAGTTAAGAAATGTACATTTTTCAACCATAATGTTATTTTATTTATGTGAAGCTCTGGTTCTTAATTTTTTACTGGTACAGTTCAACAAATTTAGCAATCTTTGCAGTGCATAATTTTATTGGTTACTTTTTTATAATCTAATTTACATTCCTTTATTATGGAATTTGATAAAGAAAGAGAATTGAGATATAATTATTTACACAAATTCACAACGGGGGAATAGGAGGGGGGGGGGGGATTGTGCACAGCAATGCAAGATCCAAATAACACACGTCTTGGAAAAAAATACATTTCTTAAACTCGAAATAGATAACGTGATTTGGAAATTATCTCAAAACATTTCATTATGAAATAAACTGAAGAGTTTTATTATTTTATAGATTTTTTTTTTTTTAATTTATTCGATACTTGATTTAATTTTTATTTCTGAAAAACTAATTATCTATATCATCTCAAATTTAACAAAATCGATAGAAATTAAATGCAGAAGAATGAAAAAATAATAATGACTTTTAACTCATCAAGGTCAATCGACAGATAAAGTCAATTATTCAACATGAAAAGTGATTTTCATAAAATAAGAGGCTGTAAATTGATTTGGACTGATGGTAATAGAAAATTGAATTCAGAATCGTGTTCCCCGAAAAATTTTAGCCCTACAAGCAATTTATCCGATTTTAAAAGAGTGAAAATTAAAACGAAATTCCTATAGTTGATTTGTTGCTATTAACAACAATAAATTATTTTTACAATGAACAACCGACTCATTGCACCAAAAACGATACCACAGCTGAAATTGAGTCTTTTACCGAGAAATAAATAAGTAGATTTATTTAAATGCCTCTGTCCGTTTAAAATTAGTGGCTAATTAAAAGTTGATTAATTGTGGGGCACCCTCAATTTTGTTGACATAAAAATGATTTTTTATTCATTTTTTTATCGCACAAACAAAGTGGGAAACAATATAAGCAATGAAAACAACTGTAAATACTATTTCCTTTGCTTGGTGACGAAAAATTTCTTAGAGCTGTGACAGCTCTAAGCAAGAGCGGTGGCCGCTCTAGTAAGAGTGGCAGCAGAACTAAGGTAGAGCGGTGACGGGACTTAGGCCGGTGCGGTGGCCGGCCGATGCTTAGTCCCGCCGTGGAACCAGCTTAGTGCCACCTCCGGCCTAAGGTTGGTTCAGTGTAATTTGAGTAAAAAGATTGATTTAAAAAATCTAATTTTGGTTTTTCCATTAGGTACAGCTACATGATCGACAACATCATCCTGCTCATCACCGGCACTCTCCACCAAAGGCCGATTTCTGAGCTCATTCCCAAATGCCATCCGTTAGGCAGTTTTGAGCAGATGGAGGCCATCCACGTCGCAGCCACCCCTGCCGAGCTTTACAACGCAGTCCTCGTCGACACCCCACTTGGTAACTTGATAAAATTTCACCGAGAATGTAAACCATCGTTTTCCCGACAGCTCCGTTCTTTGTCGACTGCATCAGCGAGCAGGACTTGGACGAGATGAATGTGGAAATCATTCGTAACACCCTGTACAAGGCTTACCTTGAGGCTTTCTATGCATTTTGCAAAGAACTCGGAGGCACCACTGCTGAAACCATGTGCGAAGTCTTAGCTGTGAGTTTGGATTCAAATATAAATAATAATAAAATGGGATTGAAGAACTGGGGCTTTTTGCTTGGAAAAAATTGTTTTTATAAAAAAAAGGTGGCTCTGCCAGTTTCAGTCACGATCTGCAACCCTATTTCATAAGCAAACGGTAGAGCCCTTTTGCTTTTGAATAAAAACAATTTTTTACAACAAGGATAAGCCCGAGTTCTTCACTTTCATGATCATCTCTACAAGTGTCAATTTCTTCAAACAAAATAAGAAATGTAAAAACAATTTATTTGTATTTTAGTTTGAGGCTGACAGGCGTGCCATTATCATCACCATCAACTCCTTTGGCACTGAGCTGACCAAGGACGACCGAGTTAAATTGTATCCAAAGGTCGGAAAATTGTACCCTGATGGTTTGGCTGCTCTGGCAAGGGCTGATGATTATGAGCAAGTCAAAGCTGTTGCTGAATATTATGCGGTAAGTGATGGTGTCAGACTTAAAAGAGAATCTAAAGCAAAAAATTTGAACTTAACAGGAGTACAGAGCATTGTTTGAGGGGTCCGGAAACAACCCAGGAGACAAAACTTTGGAAGACAAGTTCTTTGAGCATGAGGTAAGAAATTCCAGAGGAACCATTTAAATAAGTTTGAAATAATGTTCATTCTCTGCCCAAATACATCATCAATCAATTATAAATTTCATTGGTTACGAGGGAGAAAATTTAAATTCTTAAAACAATCAAAGATCAGTTGGCAAAAAAAATTATTTTTTAATGAAAAATATTTAATAGGGCACCTAAGATTCCTTTTCTACATCTTTGTGAAGAATAATGGGAATTAAATTAGAATTCAATTTATTTCGTGTCATTTTTTCATTCAAACTTCTATCATTTATATTTCCAAAATGGAAAAAAATTGTGAGGAAAATTAGAAAAACAACTTTTTGTACATATTATATTAAATTCTGTTTTGTAACAAACATTCTAAAATGAATTACTTTACATTTGCATTGACCTGAAACTAATGAATTCTTTTTGCAGGTCCGTTTGAATGTGAACGCATTCCTCCAGCAGTTCCATTTTGGCGTGTTCTACTCGTACTTGAAACTGAAGGAGCAAGAGTGTCGCAACGTCGTTTGGATTGCGGAGTGCGTTGCCCAGAGACACCGCACCAAGATCGACAACTACATCCCCATCTTCTAAGGTAAAATCAGCCCTTTGAATATCCTCCGAGCAGATTGAATGTTAAAAATTAACAAAATTATATTGGCGCCATATCCGATCATTTCATTCGTTATCGTTTTGGTGCTTTCTTTCCGTTTTCTCATTCCAAATTTTATCGTTCCGTTGAACTCATGTGATAAATTTTATTTTCCTTTTGTCAATTAATAGTTTCCATTTAAAGTCATACCTCTAGAAAACAAAGCCATTTTGTTGGCCAAGTGTAAATTTTCCTGTAAATTTATTTGCGGTTGTTGAAACAGTATTTGGAAACCTACACAGTCAGGTTCGTGTAAATTTCTAAATTGCAATGTTGACGAACAAAATTATCCATAGCATAAAAAATGTAAATATTATATTATTAGCCTGGCCCAAAGGTGTTGGATTTCAAGTTCAGTAAATAAATTATACATACTGTGCATATAAATTGAAGAAGAACATTTTTATTTTAAAATTTCCCTAAATTTTACATTAAATAATAGCATCAATTGATAATTCTTGAAAATTCTGCTTCTAAATTATTTTCAGCAAAGAAATGTAGATAAGATAATTGAAATTGAACAATATTTGAAGCAGAAAGATATAATTTCAAGCAAACGATTTTACTAGATTAATCAGAAAAACAGACAATAATAAAATTGAGCCACTTTCCAGAGAGCCTGAGGAATTATAATTCAAAAACTGGCAAATTCTCCTTGCCGTGGCGTTGGCAAACCTCTGAGATAAAGGAGATCCAGATTTATATATCTCGACCATTTTTCCAATGTAGCAGTGTCTCAATTTCACGTCCAGCATTCCGTTTACCCTGCATTCATTTTCACCTTTCCGATCTAATAGTTGGGAATAAAATTCTTTGGTCTTTTTGGTTCCGTTGAAGGCAGCGTCCCAAATCCATTCGATATTTGATCTTGAGCAGTTGAGAAACCTGTTATTCACCGTCACAAATTCACTGAAGGACGGTATTAAAAAGTTATGTCCTAATTTTTTGAAAGAGTTGTCAGAAAAAATCAGTGTCCTGAAAGCAAATTTTTAAATAAACACGCTCAAATGAAATATAAATTTGCTATTTACCCAGCAGTTCTTATTAATAATGCATCTTCTTGAAGCAACTCGAAGTGATTTTTAACAATGAGTGCCGTTTCGCCAGACAGATCAAAACCATGCTTCGCCACAACACTGAATTCATTGTCCTCGACATAATATACCTCTGCATTTACTCTCAGTGCATTCTTTTGCAAAACACCGAATTTGTTTTTTACCAAAGTTACCGATTTTCCAAGCAAATCCATTCTTGCATTGTTTAATTCCCCTAAACTGGTGTTGCTAATCTGAAAAATTAATTAATAAACCGAAAATCTACTCACTTAAAATAAAATTACATAGATGATTGCATCTGGGGCGTTGACTTTGAGAATTTCTCCATCAATGTACCAGATTTTCGTGTTGTGCAACCCAAAATTTTTTAAAAAGTCCGCATGATCAAAGGCTCCTTTTTCTACAGTTGTCACTGTTGCAGACCGAATAATGAAATGTTCCACGGTTTGGCCAAGAATGCCTTTGGGAATCGCTTTGATATTGACAATTTGTGAAATAAGTATTAAATTTGAGTCCATAACCAGTCCAGGGTGTAATTTAAGCAGGACAATGGATGTTATGCTCAGCACTTCTAGTGGCACATAGGGCTGGCCACGTAAAATGTCTCCCTTAGAAATCTCCACCATGTCGCAATTCTTAATTCTCACCGCTGCTGTTTTATAGGGCAGCTTGGCGGGGAATGAAAAATTTAGTATCTGAAAATTTGCATAATTTTATCTCCGGGGTAAATCTAAATTATTTTCTCACGCCTGGAAAATCTCTGCCACAGTCACATTCAACTATCCAGCCTTGCAAGCCATCACTCAGGCAGCGGCAGTAAGGGTGCTTGTCAAGTTCGCCCTCATACAAATCCTCTTGCCACGGTTGAAGCAGAAGAGATTCAATTTCCGTAGTTGCAGGAGAATCCGTTTCGGTTTTTACAGTGTCATTTATAATCAGTATCAAACTAAAAACTAGACTTGCCGTGGAGCTCCAAAAATGTGCCACTGAAAATTTGAAGATTTAATATTGCACAAATAATAAAGAAAAGCTAAAATGAGTTTGCTTGAAGAAATAGACACTCAAGGCGAGATGATCATGGAAATGAAGAAGAAATCGGGCTTTTCCTCCTTGAAAAATTGTTTCAGCCGTTTTAAGCTCTTTTGTTTCTGAATAAAAACAATTTTTCAAAAGCCCTTTCATTTCCAACGCTAAAATGAAAATTGAAATTCAAACATTGGAAAATTTGCCAAATTTTCACATGTTATTACTCGATATCCTGGAGCGTTTGAGATTGACAGCTAATCACCCTCGTTGAAAACTTTGACTGTCGCCACTCCATGGGCGTATTATCCTTTTTAATAATGTAATCAATAGTGTGGGTGCGGATGAATCATTATTTAAAATGGCTACAAAATGCGATACATAAGTCTTTCAGTTCAAAGTGAATAATATACATGTAGGAGTCATAAAAAAAATTTAAAATTCACATGCTATAATTTTGATAGTTTTTAATTTTTATCTAAAATGTTATTATACATTAAATTACCTTTTTCTAAATGAAAAAATGTGTTCTGTTTTTACAGTTTATACAAGAACATTTTTGTTAAAATTCTAGTCCCATTTTCTGATAATGATTGATTGAATTGTTTTATTGAGCAGGCGTATCGTTTTTGCCCATTCTGTCCTGGATTAGTTTTTGAAAATAAATTTATTTCAATTTTCACATAAAATATAATCAGAATAATAAAAATAATTCATCACTTATTATTATCATTGCATTACTTTTATTGCAGATCATTCAGTGCAGATGCAAACATAATATTTTTACCTCAAAGCACAACAATTACACAAGTGGAAAAATTAACCCCAATAAACTCTTTACATTTTTTGTTTAAAGAAATTGGCACTCAAAGAAACTATTATGAAAGTGAGGAAAACATCAGAAATTGTATTAAAAACAAAATGGCTCTACCAGTTTAGATGTTTGTCTAAACTATAACATGAGAGTGAGAAAATTCAAAATCTGCAAAGTTGAAAATCAACCAAGTTTTTTTTTTATATGCAGTTTTTCATGCCCGTCAAATAGGGCCACAGACCCTTATGACCAAAACTGGTGGAGCCGTTTCGTTTTCTTTTAACTTCACTTTCAAAATTTGAAGTTTAATATTGCATTACAAGCGCAGTTAGGTAAAAACAAAATATTTGCACAATTATAATCACAGTAGGCTGCACTGCGTTGGACGCGTTTATTAAATAATTGCAAATTTGCGCATTGGTAGCGTTGGCAAATCGACGGATTTGGTTATTCGCCGCGTCAGGGTTGTACAAATCGGCCACTTTGTCTATCGAACACGTTTTTGGCACATGACGTTCGTCCAAATACAAGCACACGTTGTGATTTTCCTCTCTCAAAAAGTGCGCATAGAAGTCCTTTGTGAGCTGCGAGACGTTCGATCCGTGAGCGGCTCCCCAAAACCAACTCAAACTTGGGGTGTTGCAGTAGAGAAAATTGTTTTCCATGACACTGTCTTTTTCGCTAATCCTTTTATTTGGGTTTATCGATTCTCTCTGCGCGACGTAAATCAAGTTGTGTTGGAATGTAAAAATACTGCGAAAAAAATAAAATTGTAATTATTTTCATATTTAAATTACAGTGACCAGCAAAATTCAAGAATGCGTGCAACTTTTAGCCCTTAAAAACATTTTTACCGACTCTTCCATGAGAAAATAATTAAAATATTTTGTTTACTTTGAATTTGATCAAGATTGGTTTACCTTTCAATGCCTGTGTGCCCCCGGACTTTCAGCAGAGCCTCTTCCTCTAATGTTTGGAAAACATTTCTTTCAAATCTAGCCATGGAAGCAGTCACGTCGAAAGCGTGTTTCTGCACTTTATTATAGAAATTGTTGTTCCAAAAAGTGGTTGTGTCCGCTGTGACCAAGAAGGCATTTGTTCCTACGCCAAAGTTGAATACGCTGTTCACAACAGACACGTCTTTGGCATATATTCGGAAGTTGGAGCCGTTTAAGGGCCCCATCGAGCTGTTTCCAATCTGCGCGGAAGTAAAGAAATATTTTAAGTTTTTACATTTGTATTCTAATTATTTAGTTTTTACCAAAAAAGTGTCGCCAACGTCAACGTCGATAGCATTTTCCTCTATGGTCAGAATCGTCGTGCTGAATATTGTGAAGTTGGTCTTGATGTGTGCGTTGAAAATTGCTCTTGAGCGCACAACGTCAATCAAATCAACGTGTTCGATTTGGAAAATGTTAACGTTGTTTGACGAGGATGCCATTCTGAGAATTCCGGCCGGGAGCTCTGGTATACGTCGGACGTTGCTAATCACAATGTTTCGACCAAGGATGACCACGTCAGGGTTGAAAATCAAATTTCCCGTGATGTTGTGAACTCCGAACCATTCGGGAATGATAACTTCCTTCATTTTTAAACCACTTTTGGCGACAACTGCATTTTCACACTTGGTGATTAGCAGCGAAAACGTTTGCGTAGGAATTACCACTGGGAACGGCAGCACGAACGTCTTTAAGTTTGGTTTTTATTAATTGATTTTGGAGGAAAAAATTTAATTACTTTTGGTATCCCGGGTTGATAATGAACGCAGCTGCATTCAATGCTCCAACCCTGTGACTCTTGAATGCAATCGCAAGCGGGGTTCTTGCAAAGGTCATCAGACTGTCGAGGCTCGGATTTTAATGCGTGTTGATTCACTTGAGCGCTCAGGGTGAAGTGGACCACCACAACCAGGAGTATCAGGATATTCACCATCGCGCATTTATTTAAACGAGAGCACCACACTGAAAAATATAATTGAATTTTTTTGGATTACAGGAAAATGCACTAGGCGTTTTAATTAATGCAAAAATTTAACAATCAAACATGAAATATTAAAAACCTTAAAAAAGAACTTTTGATTAAGCAGACAGTGTTATTATTAAATATTAAATATATTAATTTAAATATCAAGCAAAAATTTAATGCCAATTAAACATTTAATTGAATTTCAAAAAATAGCAGATTTATTAAATAGATAAAAAAAATAATAAATATTATCAAAAATTTATATATAATATTAAAAAAGAATTCAAATTCGACATAAATGGTATTTTATGTAATTATATTATGCGTGTTAAATTTAACTATTTATTATTATAAAAAATTTGATTTATTTAATAATAGTGCAGATACAATGTACAATAAAATTTGTAATTAGTCCTGGAGGGGTTTTAAAAGCAATGCAAATTTTATTTTATTATTATTACAACTTGCTTGTATTTAATTAATTCTGAGACAATTTTTTATGGGAATATTATAAATTTTTAGCTATTCTTGTCGTACAATTTTGAATGTAATCTGTTTAAGGAGAATATTATACATTTAATTTCTTCAGTACATTTTAGTAAAAGAAGATTGTATTAATATATTTATATAAATATCAAACAACAACTTACTATTATCACTGCCAGGACAGAGTGTGCAGTCGCGATTACACTCCTCGCAGGAAACGCATGGCACTGCGTTTGTCGTCGATGCTTCTTCTTCCTCTGCGGCATCATTTTCGGCACTCATCTTTTCTTATCATACATTTAGGCGCACGCCTGGCCTCGCTCCGCATCCCACATAGCTTTCGCCTTCATTTATTCTTTTGATTGATGTATTTGATATACATGATATATTGACAAATGAAAAGCTCTATGATGGAGGATAAATTTCAATGTGTCTACTTCTGCGCATCCTGCTAGGCGCTATTTTGAGACTGGTCGGGTCGCGTTAAGTTGTTTCTGGCACGTTACCAAGTTTGCACTTTTTTCTTGGAGCTTTAAATCTTTCAAAGTTAACTGAATAAATTATTTATTTTTCCTACAACTTATTAATTATTATAGCAATGTTTTATGATGAAATTAAAGAAGGCATCTTTCATGATTTAATGTTGGTAAAAATATTTATTTTAATTTTTTATTATAAAATTGATATCAAAAATTATTCAAAACAATGAATTGTGTACAATGAACGGCCTGAGAAATGAGATATTGATAGGTGTAAGTTCAACAGTAAAATAACTGTCATCTATCTTGCTGGGATTCTTTCTCCCAAATTAATTGATTTTCAGTAAGTGAGAACATTGTTTGCAACACATAGTCTTTTCCTCTGTGCATTATCACTTGAAAGCAGTTTGGAGTGTTGTTATCTTCAGCAGATGATGCCTCAGATGCCTTGAAAATAAAACAATATGCAATCAATGTCATGATGTAAAAATAACCATAAAAACATTCACAATTTTAAAATAATTTAAACATTACGGAATATAAAAATAAAAATAATAAGAGAGTAAAAATTCACCTGCTTAACCTCAGGTTTAACAAATAAAGAGAAACTTCTATTGGGATAATTTGTTTCCACAAATGACTTCTTGTAGTTGACGGGCAGAGTGAAGACGAGCACTATATTGAGCTGCTTGATTTCCGAACTTAAAAGTGGTGAAAGGAAAGTAGCCAAATAGTAGTCCTTGCTGACTTTGGCCGTGTTTGCGTTTCCTTCGAAAAGCAGATCGGACTGGTAATAAGCTGCAGGACTGTCGATGACCACCAGAGACACTTTGTTTGGTCTGGACCGGATCAACTGGGGCAGTGTGTGAATGGAGGCAAGGAGCTGCGTCGAGTTGAAGCACTGCAGAATCAACAGCTGGTTCAGAGCTGCCTTCAGAGCCTTTTGCATTTCTTTTCTCTCCATACCACCTATAAAAATTAATTAAATTCAAAAATTAATAAAAGTATAACTTTATTTTCAAAAGCTTTAAATTACTTTTACGAAGGGTAGTTTCAAGCGCACTAGCGAAATGTTGAATTCGCAACTGGTGTTCGGTGTCAATGAAAATTGCCTCCGCTTCCAGTCCACCAACTTTCATGGGCAAGACGCATCTGGCCAAAAGGTGCGAGCACAGCCTGGTTGATAAATTGCCCTCAGGGCTTCGGACTTCGACAACGTCGTGTGGATTTAGCAGCCCTGAGGGAAAAAGCGCCGGCTGCAGGTCGGAAACGCTGGAGCCTGTGCAGCCGGACAGTCGGGACAACATCTGCAATCCTGACTCTGCTCGAATGGACGGCGAGGTCATGTTGATGCATTTGCGCGCACAAACTTCACATGCAATTAATTACTGGAAATAAAAATAAAAAATTAATTAATTAATATGAAGGAAAAAATGATTTTTCACAGCACTCTTTAACTTTATGTAAGTAAATTAAATTAAAAAGTTTCTTGTGTGTAAATTACACTCAGCCCTCTAATTGAATTAGAAATAAACGTAATTCGTAAAGGAAAATTATTAAAAAAGAAATAATTTTTACCTCTCATACCTCTCACTCTCGATGTTTGTTTAGTTTGAGTAAAATTAAACAGCCGGCTAAATAGCCACGCCCCTTTGTTTACATCAGCAGCTGACGTTGGACTCAAAAACCGGCCACGACGAATTCGGGACGGAAAACAGAGATTTCGAATTGAATAACTTAAATATTATCAAAATTGAACCCCAAAATATTATCAGGATGGAGTGCATCGACTCCAGGGAGAAAATCGATGAATTGTGCGTCAAATTGGCTCAGCAGGAGGTAAAAATCTGCAAATAGAATTAAAATTTCAAAGTTTTTTGCTATGATTTTTTTTATGCTATGATAGGAGGACAATGAAAAATACTTGGAGAGCATAATGTCGCGGCAGGTCAACTTGGAGGCGAAATTGAAAAACATCACGAAGGCTCTGCCCAATCTGCAAATTCTACACAATGATGCTGTCAAACTGGCTGAAATGATTTCCCACACTTCCACGTTGGCCGAAACGGTTAGCGCCAAAGTCAGACAACTCGACATTGCTAGAGTAATTATATCTTTCTTGTTATAAAAATGCATTATTTTAATAAAAAATAAAACACCTTTTTTTCCTGTCAGAGTCGAGTGTCCGAATGTCAGCAACGAGTGCAAGACCTGCAGGATTTAAAACTTTGTAAAGAGGGTGTAAAAACTGCCCTGGAAAATGAGGAGTATGAAAAGGCCGCCGGTCACATTCACAGATTTTTGGCAATGGACCAAGCTACCCTCAGGAAAACAGCTTCTCACGTATCTCAAGGTACTCGCAAAGGCAAATTTAAGCGGGCATTAATAATTATTATTCTTCTCAGGGCGCAGTGTCGACGATTGTTTTACTCAACTCGACTCTGCGACTAAAGAGCTCAGGTTGATTGTGGCCAGAAATTTTGAGCAGGCAGCCTTGAAAGACAACGCAGCCGACGTTGAAAGATTTTTCAAGGTTCAAATTAATTTATTATTAAAATAATTTCATCTTGAATATGAAAATAAAATATGTAGATTTTTCCTCTGCTCGGAGACAAGCAAGAAGGTCTTCGAAGATTCTCTGCATATCTTGCTGGAAAGTTGACAGTGATGGCACAGAAAAACTTCAAAACCTGTCTGGACACTCCGATCCACGACAAGCGAGCTTTGGTTTTGTACGCAGATGCGCTTACTCTGTTGTTCGAAGGAATTGCAAGAGTCATCGAAGTCCACCAGCCTATAGTTGAGACATATTATGGTACGAGAGCAAAGAGAATTTTAAAATATTGATAAATGGGAAACACTTACATAGGTCCTGGAAATTTGCTCGATGTAATTGAGCGCCTGCAACAAGAGTGTGACAAGGAGAGTCGTAAAATTTTAACTGAGCTTATTCAAAAAAGGAATTTGGACAACATTGTCAGACAGGTTAGAATTCACTAAATTCGAAACCTTGTTAATGTTTTCGTCAGGTTGATGATGCCCTTCGAGGAGGTGCTCCTCTGCACACAGTGGCATCTGCAGCCTCCTTGGTGTCAATGGCCACTTCAGCCTCTGGGTCGCAAACGCACCGTCGAACTGGCTCTACCGGCACTTCGATGGAGACAGACCATCGAAAGGTTATTGACCCAAGAGATTTGGACCTTTTACTCGGAGAACTGTCGATCGCCCATGCCAGAGCTGAGCTTTACATGCGATTCCTGCGTAGGAGAATCACTGTGAGTGTTCAAAAGAAAGTAAAAACATTCACATTATTTAAAAACAAAACAAGTTTCTAAATTTACTCAAGATATTCTTTTTTTTTCTAGTTGAAATTTTTTTAGCTCAAATGTTTATCTTTTTAGGCTGATTTTGAGAGTGACAATGAGGAAGAAAAGCAGGCAGGGTTGAAAAGGATGGAGTCTGTTTTGCAAAAGAGTGACTTGTGCCGCTCCATGCAAGAACTTCTTGGTCACTACCTGCTGCTCGAGAGGTTCTACATGTCCGAGAGCGTTCGTAAAGCGATGAGCTTAGACACCTTGGACGGGGAGGACAGCCAAACCTCGAGCGTGTTGGACGACGTCTTCTTCATCCTGCGCAAGAGTATTCGCAGGGCCAGTCAATCGGGCAGCATGGACGGGACCTGCGCCGTCATCAACGACGCTTGCACATTTTTGGAGATAGATTTCTGTGGCTACCTCCACCGTCAGCTGAAGAAAGGGTACTCTTCAGGGTACCTTGACCTGACGGCCCAAGCCTACAACATGTGGCAGTCGTCTCTGCAGCAGGGACGCCTCAACACCACCAACCAGTCTGACTCTGATTCAGCCCGCGCCATGTTTTTGGTTAAATTTTATGACTTTTTATAATTTCTTTTGTTACAAAATTTTACTCTAATTCCAGGCCCATTTGAATAACTCGGACGCAAGTCTGGAGTTCATCAAGGTGATGAGGCGTGGCTTGGAGGAGGACATTGTGAGTGCTCTTGGAAGCAACAACCTCACCTTGAATGACCAGGCAAAACTGAGCTCATGCCTGTCAGGTTTTAACTCTGCAACTGCCTCGTTGAGACATGTGACTGAATACGGCCTCCAGCAACTGATAGTCAGTGCTGTGAAGCCTCGAACTGGGCCCTGGGTCGATGCCTTCCTGCAAGCCAATCATCAGCTTACAGAGGTACAATATTTTCTTTTAAATTTACTTAATTATATTGAAATTTTTATTCAATAGGAAGAATTTGCTAGCTACGAAGCAGACGAGCCATTTGTCCAGAATCTGATCCACAATCTTGAAAGTCTGCTCAGCTCCTTCAAATCCAAACTAACCTTTGCAAATTATGATGCACTGGTCGGCCACGTAGCCTCGGAAATCACTGCTCAAATGGAAAAAGTGATAATGAAGTCATGTTTCAACAGGGTACGATTTCCAAACTTTTTTTAAGAACATTTTAATCATTATTAATTTACAGTTGGGAGGGCTTGCTCTGGATAAGGAAGTCCGAGGTCTGGCTGGTTATCTGACAGCCGCAACGACACTTTCCATCAGAGACAAACTGGCTCGACTGACCCAGGTTGCAACGGTTCTCAATTTGGAAAAACCATCGGAAATGGCTGATTATTGGGGCGCCTCAGCAGGGCAACTTGCGTGGAGACTAACGGCTGCGGAAATCCGGCAGATCATGATGTTAAGGTAATATTTACAATTTTATTGTTTCAATGTACATTAAAACGACAAATTTTTAGGGTGGACTTCAAATCTGATGAAATAAAAAAGCTGAAACTTTAATTTAAATATAGTGCTACTGATATATTAGTTTTTTTTTATATTGCTGCAAGGCCATTTTTTCAAGAAGAAAGCTTTTCACATAGATATTTTATATAAAAAAAAAATATATGAATTATGTGAATAAAAAGTATCCTACTGAAATTTTACAAAGTAATTATTTAAACAGATTTTGGAATTTACTAATTAGAAATTAGTAGGAAAATAACTTGGGGAAAATATTTGGCTGGCGCGTACTGAAATGACTTAGATTTTAAATATTGTAAAATTTAAAATGTGATGTGACTACGGAGAATATTAATAATAATTAATATTAAATCAATTATATAATTCTGGTGCAAGACTGCAAGGTGCGCAACATTTAAAAATTCGCGCCAAAATTATACTATGCTAAGATGTGAATGCGACTTCATTTAAATGAAATTTAAGAAAGAGTTATTTTCTATTAAATTTTTCAACGCAATTGATAAACTTTATTGCTTTAATTCTCAAAGGCAGAACCAAATTTTACTCAGTACAATAACTTAGCCGACCAACCCTTTCCTTTTTTCATATTGATTTTCCGCGCAAGTCTATTGATTGCGATTCGCATCTACGCTGTGAAAACTTCGGTTTTCGTCGAGTGACACACCGTCAGCTGATGCGTTTACGCTTTTGAGACACTCCGAGTCCCGTATTTCGACTGAAAAAATGGTAAGTTCGATCGTCTGGGACTCGAATTGGGCACCAAACCAAACTCGAAGATCCATGTCAACGATCTCAAGTGGCAATGAACCTAAAAATTGTTTTCCCACAGGCGTTTATGAGCGAGAAACTTGGGGCCATGTTCCAGCGGCCCCAGGACGAGAACAGGGACGACGTACCCTGGTACATGCGATACGGCGCCAGAGCCCTCGGCACCGTCGGAGGAGGACGTAAGTTTCAATTCTTAATATAAAAAATTTTTTTTAATTATATTTAATATGGAAAACGTATAAAAATTTAAACGGCAAATTTCTTTTGGACGGGATCGAGAGGGTTGTAAAATGTTCACATTGCGCGTTTGTTGTTTGGATGACTCGTTTATTTATCAACTTTGACGTAATCAAGATTATGATACACACGGGGAAAATGTTGTTTGTAAAATTTCAATCAATCATGTTCACCTTTTGCAATTTTGTCGTAGATTATTCATGTATAATTATTTGTCATTGTTTTTGAAAATTTTGCATGATCATACTTTTTTTATTTTGCTTTTAGTTGCAATTTTCCTTGGCTTGTGGAATTGCCTGGGCATCATGTTGGCCGACGTCGGGTGTCTCCTGGGAGGAATCTGGCAAATGTAAATTTAAAAGTAAAAATAAAATTTTCAATAAATTTAAAACACAAATTTCAGGCTTGCCGGTTTCGTGGCGATCACGATAGAAGCGCCTTGTTGCTGCATGTTCATCGAACACGTACAAACCCTGAGCAACTTGGCTGAAAGCCGACCCTACTGGAACCGAGCCGCCCTTTATTGCGGGTAAGATTATCTGAGATAAAATATTTTTTTTATCAATTAAAATAGAAAGGATGTTTTCTACAATTTGCTTCGAAAAGATTTACGTCCTCTAATCTTTTAGTTGATCACCCAAGACATGCAATAAAAATGTAAGACACACGACCGAGCGTCTTGTGTGTTATTGATTTTTGTCGTTTATTTTGAGACACTGGCCTTGATCAATAACAGCCGGCAACCATTTCCACTTCCTCTCTTTTTATTAAATAATAATGAGATTTTCTCCTCAGCATCGCCATTCCCGGAGTCCTGTTTTGCTTCGGACTGGGAAGTCTGTTCGGCAGTGGCCTCATCTTTGCCACTGGAGTCATGTACGGCATGATGGGACTGGGAAAGAAGTGAGTCTCGATTTAATTTATTAAAAAAACTAACACTTGATTGGATTCTTGAAAACTGACTTGAGTGTTGTGTTGTTTCGCTTTCATTAATCAACGATGGATAAATCATTCACATTTCAGTGGTTGAAAATGGTTTTCTGCATTTATATATAAAAAAGAAATGAATTGCATACAATAATATTATAATAATTTAAATTGGTTCTTACAATTTGAAAACAAGATCTAAAATTTCTATTTCAATCCTTTTTTGCCACTGGCCATTTTTTCTAACGCTAATCAATCTGTGTGCCTTGTCTTTTTTTTCGTGGTGGTGATTAGGGGTACACGGGAAGACATGGCTGCAGCTGCCGGAGGTGGCACCCTCAGTCCTGGGGTTGCTCCCGGCACCGTGGGTATTCCCATGGGCGCCGACCCCAACGCCACCCTCATGGAGGACCCGGACGTGTGGAGGCCCACCTAAACGTGTGTCTCGTATTCAACATTCTTAGAATGCTGTACACAGAGAATCAATTTTTGCTTATAGTTTTGTTCATTTCCTTTTTTAGATTGTCCGTTGGTGGTTTCCTGCTGTGTTTTTGGCTCGTTTTGATTTGCTGCACTTGTACAATTTTCTGAATTTTCTCTTGCACCTTCATACTTGCCCCACACCCAAAATTTTATATTATTCCTATCCTTAAGAAATGTAAATTATTTTAGTTAAATAAATTTAAAAAACAAATTAGTACTTTGACACAAAAATGTTGGAATTTTTAAGTTTTAACACAATCTTAAGGAAAGTTTCGCCTAAATCCTTATTAATTTTGTTAGTAAAATCTTTAGATCTTTGCCACGATGAAGTATATCAAACTTAATTAAATAATTACAGGATACAAATTTTAATCACAATTAGCCTTGGCAATATTATTGATTTTTTTAAAATAATATAACAGGAAGACAGAAACAGAAAATAAAATGGCTAATTTAAATATTCATTCAGAAAATTTTGAAAAGAATTTATTGGATTATGAAATTTTAAGTGCAAATTTTCAATTATACAGCTTTGATAATTCGGATAATTTAAGAATAACTTTTTAATAATTATAAATTTTGGCTTGTAACCAGAAAACTGGATTGCAGTTACTAGTTTTAAAGTTTATGGATTTAAAATTTGCATAAAAATGTTATGATTCAAAAATTTTATTTTTGAAAAATTTCTGAATGAATATTTTAACCAGCCCTTTGATTTTCGATTTCTGTCTTGCTGTGATATTGTAAGAAATGATCATTAATATTTCCCAGGCTGATTTTGTTTCAGATTTTGTGGCCTGTTAATTATTTAATTAACATTTTCCAGAATTAAAGTAAAATAAATAAAATGAATTGAACTGAATTGAACTGAAAAAATTATTCATTTATTTATGACAAAGACTTTGAGATTTTCCTAACAAAATAAATTAGGATAAGTCAAAACTTTCCTGTGATTTTGTTACAATTCAAAAATTCCAACCAATTTTTTTTTTCAACTCTAATTACTTTGTTATAGATTTTTTTTTTATCAATTCTCCGATTAAATAATAATGCCAATCTTGCAATTTGAATTGCAGAGCCTCACGAGACGAGATGAGAGCAGCCGCGACAGCCGCCGGCACGAACCAGGCGCCCCTGCCAACAAATCCTAGCTCCACCCTGAAAGCTGACCTGGTGAGCAACGCGCAGCCGATGGCCCACAGCACGGCACCTTTCCCTGGCGTCTGACCTCGGACTCGGTAGATTGATTGCTCATGCTCTCATCGAATCGGACTAGACTTCGACATGTTTCATGTGTTCCCTTTTATTGTGCACTGAGCATCTGAGTTGCTTTCACTCACACCCTTCACTGAAAAACAAAATCCTTTACGAAGCTCAATGCTTTGCTGTTTTATCCTCTGTCGATCATGTATTCAAGCAAAACTATTTTTTGTTCGGCTGACGTTTTAGAAACTCTGCGGCCAAATTTGCACCAAGTTCCCTTTTTCCTCTTTGTTCAACTTGGGGAAAGAGGGATTATCATGATTTATTTTCCCAGCTTCTCTCTCTGACCAGGGAATTTTGAATTTGTTTTGTAGTACCTTTGATGCAGCTACACCGTCTTTTTGTTGCTTATTTTTATATTCAGTGCAATGAATGAATGTCAATTTGCCGCGAAATGTATTAAATATAATTATATATAATCCAATAAGAACTTCACAGTCAACACGAAGGGAAAACAACTACTGTGTGGCACATCATGTTAAACAAAAAATATCAGATAATATCAAGCATTATAGACAAAAAAAAAAATTGCAGAAACTGCAATAATATGAATGTTAAGCTGCCTGACGAGCTCGGAGACTTTTCCCCCTGATTCCCCTCGAAGCAATAAGTTAGAATTCGTTGGTTTAGTTCTTGAAGAACGAGTTTCAAAGTAGCGAGCGCCGCCAGGCAGTGATCAGAAATGTTTCAAACTCTCTAAGTGTCATGTCAAAATTAAACCATTATCATAAACTAGCATCTAGGGGTTGTTTAATGTTGAGGGCAGTTCTAGAAGGGTCTGCCCACTAGAGTACGTCTGAATATCACCCAAGTTAACGATTTCCCGAGTTGAGAAAGAAAGTTTGTCTGATGAGTTTATCAAAAACACGGACCACTCATAATTTATACGCAAATAAAACAAACACCCACAGACCGGATGCTTGAGGGAATGAAATTATGTATTCACGCAGAAATGCTAAAACTGTACTCAAAATTGTTCTCTATCCAGCCAAAGACTTGAGTAAATCTTGTTTAATTTGTCGAATATTTAATTGTTGAAATATACACGTCAATTTATTAGAGACTCGCTGATGGACGTTGACAAAATATTTTTGCCCGCAGATGAGATTCAATATTTATTAATTTCCAGACGCGTGACGATTTCGCAAGGTTGGCTCTAAGCTTCATTCAGTTTGGCCTAAAACCCCCTTTCTCTTCGTGTACATGAGATCATTCTTTGATAGTCCATTTTCTGCATAACACCAAAATCCTCCTGACGAAAAATGCCCCAAAGAAGCTGCCAACGTTGCGACTTCGCATCAGCGTGATGAATTCGAAAGCTTTTGCTGGATGCTACGGTAGACAAGCAGTTCATCTATATTAATACATGTGACTGATTTTTAAGGGATCGTTAGCTCTACACAAGTAATGGTTTAAATCAAGTCCGTACACATGCTGAATACACTGTATATAAAATCTAGGTTATTATAATAATTTCCAGCCCACCACGGAAATTGATTCAAACAGGTGATCTCGAACGAAACTCGAGAATTTCAAAACGAATCGTGGGATGCACCATATCTCCGCACTTAATTGATTTATATGATTTAATTTCGTCAAAGTTAAACGTATGTGATCGCTTCTTGCTGATTTGACATTCCGAAAATTTGTTGTAATGTATATTTTTCACGTCTCTTAGTTTCTCTTTTTGTATTGCCACTACTTTCCCGTTTGTCTCAATCTGACGCAGCCAATTCGAAATAACGAAACTGCGTCACATTGCGGATTTTGCTCTCAATCGTCGACAGGGATGAGTTAGGTATGATGATTTGCAGGTGAGCTCAAGTGCTCTAGGAACAGTGTATTTAAAATTGATGTAACGTATGCATGCAGACAAACGTAATAGGACAAGACGTATGCGAAAGTTATAAAGAATACAGGAGATGTTAATGATTAATAAAAATTACTACGATACAAAGCCAACCAAAAGTCGATTCCTTTACTCGCAAAATTCCTTACAATTTAGAAAATAATTTACTGCAACTATTTAAGCTCAATTGTCTCATAAGACAATAAAGAATCTAGACAATTCCAATAGAAAAAAGTTCCAGCCATTGATTTTTAAATTTTATGCCGGTGGTTCCAGTGCAAAAGCAAAAGAGTTATGCAACGTGCATGTCTCGAGTGCCGGGCAAATTGCCTACACCCCCCTGGGCTGTTGACAATTTACAAAAAAAATGCGCTGCGCTGCCCGCCGGCGAGCGCATCAGGGAGCAAATAAAGGTGATGCGCTCTCATTCATATGCTATCTGCTCGTCAATCTTAATAAAAAATTGCGACTGACGTTGGGGCGAACATGATTTGATGCTGCAAATGGGAGAGAAGGAATTCAAAACTTCTCTTTGTGTTTCAAACTTAAATAAATCGCAGAAAAGAAAGAAGGAAGCCGTTTTTCCACTTTCGACGGAATCTGATTATTCTCCATTATACTTCATAAACAACAATCAATGCTGAAAACTTGAAAAGTTTCTCGGCGTTGAGTTGACTTTGGGAAAAATGAGCTACTTTTTTTGTTCTGCTTCTTCTGGAAGGCAGAGAACTTGATAAAAGCGCTTCTTTCAATTGCCCTCGACGAGTTAAGCGTCAATAAAACGGATGCTCGCTAGTGGAAGTAGTTATTATGTAACTCGGTACGTGGACTTTAACTGCGCTCCAAAGGAAATAGCACTTTTACGACTAAATTGAGCGCGCTCAACGAAGTCACATAAAACGGTAAAAACGATTGCCGCGTGTGGGGACACACGCGTTGATTTTAAGGATAAAAGCTTAAGCCGCAACCTAATTGGGAGATTTAGAGAAGCTCGGTGACTTTTCAAAAATGATTTTTACTTGCAGTATTTAAAATATCAAAATTCCAAAGATTTAGATGAAAGAATGTTATATTCCCTCATAAAAGGACATAAATTTTTTATTTATTAAATTGTTCTTGAAATTAAAATAAACTGGAAAACCTAAAAACCAAGTATAAAAGACCATATATGGCCAATGAATTATATTTTATAAGTAATAATAAATCATCATATATTCAAAAAATTTTATTAAAATTTGTCTGTATGTTGCAAATCGTTTTGAAAAAGTGTAAGTCTGTAGAAAAATAGACCCAGATTTTCTGAATCATTTTTTCTTTTAAAGCAAATCGATTGCACCTATTGAAAAGACGTTAAATAAAAAACTTGTGAACATAGGAAATAAATAATAATGTTTTGTAAAGTCTCTTTACTTTAGAGCAAGATAAATTCCAAAGCGGGGAATGCAAGGCCTTTTGGAAATATAAATATCGGTCGGGGGCAATCAATCGTCGGGCTGCTAATAAAACTGGACAGCACGGCCAGGCGCAAAGTGTAGGGCCGAAGAACGGCGTTTGAAAGCGAGGGCCGAGCGAGGGTTTCGGGAGCGGCGAACGCGGGCCGCGCAGGGGGTGCTGGCAGAGCGCGGCGGGCGCGCGCGGATCGAGTGAGCAGGCGCCGGCCGGAGGAGGCAGCCTCGAATGGGTCTGGTCCACGCAGCGGCAGAAAGCGGCAGCAGTGCATTGGCTGCCGCCGTCGGCCGAGCAGGGCTTCGTCGTTTTCGGGCCGAGAGCGACGAGCGAGCGCTGGGCCCCGAGGCTGGGCCGGGCATGGAGCGACCGGCCGCGTGTCGCGCGTGACGCCCGCCGCAGTGCGCGCGTAATGGTGACTTAGCCCGCTTAGCCAGCAGCTCGGCAGCTAGCACCACAGCGAGTTTTGAGTTACATTTTTCTCACCCCGACTTGCACCTCGGCAAGCGCAACTATTATAGTGCTAACGACCAGCGGCCGCCGCTCCTCCGAAGGACTCTTGGACCAGCAATTCAGTGCAGCCGCCGCCGACGACGACGTCATGCAGAACCAGCAGCAGCAGCAGCAGGCGGCCGCCGGCCCTCCGCAGGCCACCCCCGCCACCGGCGTGCAGGCCCCCAAAGGCATCAACGGGGGCCGCTTCGACTTCGACGACGGAGGCACCTATTGCGGCGGCTGGGAGGACGGCAAGGCCCACGGCCACGGCGTCTGCACCGGCCCCAAGGGCCAGGGCGCCTACTCGGGCTCGTGGCACTTCGGCTTCGAGGTGTCCGGAGTGTATATGTGGCCCAGGTATGTAAACATATTGATCGCGCGCTCCTCCGCCGACAGAGCGAGAGGGCCGAGCGATGTATGCAACCCGCCGCGCTGCACGCACACCTTCCATTCCTTCGACCAGCTGCTGCCTCCGCTCGATCTTTCCCAGCTGCAAATGCGTCAATTGTTCGCCCATCCGACTTTGTGTTATTCCCCGAATGCGTGTGCTTTAATCCATCAAATTTTTAACGCGTCTCGATCCATAAATAATGATAGAACGAGCGGAGAGCTGCAGTGGACAAAGGAATTACATGAATAATTTCCAGAATTTTAACTCATAAAGGTGTACCTTGATTAAAACAAATCTTTGCCACTTTGCTTGTCAAACAAAAGTCAATATTTATTTATGTTCTTATAATATTAATTATTTAATTTAAATGATTTTATTGCGTGCCACAGTCAGATATGATGGTTTATTATTTATTTTAAAACAAATTGTTATTTTTTAATAAATAAAAAAATATATTTTAATGAACGGTATTTAGCAGTCTAATACTTTTCAATTGATTAGAATTGTATTTAAAAAAATATTTGCAATAAGATTTTAACAATGATAACATATTCATTTTATGTTATCTTGTAATTATCATTATTTATTAAATCTCAAAATTTTAAAATTTATTTTTTAATTATTTGTTTTTTTTTTACAGTAAGAATTTTATTCATTTTATATATAAATTTGAAATACTATTTTAAAATAAGAATATGGACCTCAGCTCCTCCAGTGTTAAAATGAGTCTTTGTATAGATTTTAAATTTGTATCAAATTATTTTCCTAAATTGCAATAAAATTTATTTCTGTTGATTAATTTTCATAGATTTTATGAGGAAAAGATGGATTGGAAATGAATTATTGAGAAAAATAGCAAATCGATGCATAGAAAATGAGCTTCGTATGCAACACGTACCTTTAGACTCGTCACGCAAAAGCATTTACAACCGGAACTGTATAAAAGTAAACACTGTCTGGATACGTTGCTTGTTTGACTTTTTTAACTTTTGTATAACTCAATCGAGCAAACTTTCGAAAGGCTCGCCGTGATGTGTTATGGTTTCGTCCATCCAAATGAATGGCTGGAGCGCAATTTTAGAACACGTGCGCGCGTGAATGAAACTGCAAAGTTTACAAAACGAAGTGAGCGAATCGAAATGTGTTTGCAGTCGTGAGCCATTTGCAAAGAGCAGCTCCGGAAAAAAATCCAATCCGCTCGCGTTTAAAAATACTGAGGTGCATGCACGCTTCATCGGAGGGCGATAATAATTTTAGGCGCGCGCCGCAATTTCCAAACAGGCCGCGCGCGTGTTATTTGCAGAGTTCTTAGAGCAAGGAGCGCGCGCGGGCCATCTGCTCAATGCCTTCAACTTTGGCCGCGCATAAATTACCCCACTCGGACACACACAAACCTCTGAACTTTCGCCACGAGGCGCAACCGGCCAATTTCCAGCAGCATTTCCTGCCGATTGGAATCTCGTGTGTCATTTTGCCCGGCTCACGATATAAATTTACGGCATGGGGGGCGCCCTCTAATTAACAAGCCGATCCAGCCGAAAATCGATCCTTGCGTGTTCGGCCTCACTTTGACCGCGACTTTTGTTGACTTATTGTTTTGTTATTTACTGATACACACACGCGCCCAAGGTATGAATTTTGCAATCGGAAAACTTTTTGAGGAAATTTCACTGCCTGATAGTTAAAATTGATGCAACCTTCCGTTGCGAGTGAAGGGATAATTTTATTTTTTGTACTTGTTGGAGTCGATTTTATCCGGCAGAATAACACGACATGCTTTTATTTGCATTTTTGATGGAAAAAAGTGGCCGGTAATGCCAGGATAATAATGCGTGTTCCGTCTGATTGCGACACTCGCCGGTATTCACGCGATAAAATCACCATTTTCGTGTTTTCACTGCAGTAATTTCGGGGTAATTTTTTAGTAGAATGTGCACTCTGTGAATAAGATTTGCTTTTTGATTTTTGTTACAAAAATTTACCACTGCATTAATAGACCTATAGAGATTTACAGTGGAAAGTGGCCATAATTATATTCAACATTTAAATCTTTTGTATATCTGTGTAAAAATAAAAAGTTATTGCTTTAAATGGTGTAAAAAAAGTCAAATATTTAACTAAATCCAACCACAATTTTGTTTCGAAGCTAAATAATGTGTTTCTTTTTGTTATTTGAAACTCACAGGCTCCATTAGTAATATTCTAGACGATTTCTTTATTAATTTAAGCTTAATTTAATTTTGCAAACTTCTGAGAACAAGGAACTGTTGAATTCAATTTGTAGGTTTGAGTTTTGAACTGATTTGAATTTAAATTGTTAAAACTGTTTTTATGTTTTCTTCTCAAATTTTCAAATATTTTGATTTCAATTCTATAAAATTTTTGTGATAAACACATAAAATGTTGTTGTTAATACCTTTAACTATTTTAACAGAAGTAATTAAAGCTTCCTAAAGTTCTGCGTATCTCAATTTGTCAGGCGTTTCAGCTGTTTTTGAAACCATGTCTAATTTTTCCAATTTCCAATTTTTATTTTGGAAACGATTTCAGAGAAACGATTAATAATTTAAAATTTCCTAATAACTATTGCGTATTAGCAGGAAAAAAAGGCGCTTTAAATTGCTTTTAAAAATTGCAACGTAATCTTTAAAAAACACTATATTGAATTAGAGAAAGAACCTAATTAATCTAGCATACAATCTTGAAGAAAATGCTCTGGTTGCATATTTTTGCATAATTTTTGCTGCTTTTGTGAGCTTTTAGAGTAGAGCGGGGACGTGGAAAACTCGGCGCTTGCCAATTAAAAGACGATAAAAATCCATCTCGGTGAGAGCGCGAGATTTTCAAAGTGCCATTTTTCAAACTTCAAAGTGGCGCTGCGCGGGGGCGCCGTGCGCTAATTAAAACGTAAAAGAACAAATTTAAGCGGCCATAACTATTCGGCGTGTGAAACGCGCGCGCCGCAAAGAATAATCAAGAAAGAGCGCGGCTGCCAGTGGCGAATAACGAATAAAAAAATAGCGCCGGCAGTAAAATCGGAGAGAGAGAAAGCTTTGAAATTTTCGCGGATCGCGCGAGAAAGAATGAGCGAGTCGGAGCGAGTTAATACATCAAGAAAGTCGCGGGACGATGATGAGTTTTGTTGTAATTTTAGCCAGCATGCGAAGTAAGGGGCAGTGCTCTTCATAGCGGGTGCTCTATTTTCAGGGTTCGAGCCAAACAGAACCAAGTGTAAAGCCATGCTCATCACTCGCTTGCTTCTTCTTTCTCTTGCCGGCCTTACTGTTTCGCCCGCCTGCCTCCTCCGTGGAGCAGCAGCAGCTTGGCCGAGCTATTTTCACGGCTTAGATCATTAAAAGCGCACACGCTGGCCCTCTCTCTCTTTTCTCTCCCTCTTTCTCTCTTTCTCTCTCGCACACATTAGCGTGCGCCCGGAGAGAAAGAAACTTAACGACCACACATCGCAGCTCTGCCGTGTTCTTTTTTATTTATTTTTTCAATCTCACAATGAAATAATTAAATTGGCCTCTCCTGCTGCGCGGATTCGAGCCGGCAGCACTGATTACAGAAAGAATTTTTCTGGATTGCAGATTAAGTGCTTAATTATCTTAAATTTGTCTAATTGACGTTAAACGAGGTTTAATATACTCAAAATTCATGTGCTTTATTTGGGATATTTTGAAAGTTTTCTGAATTATGAAATACTTAAAACATATGTTGCTCTCCGGAGGTTGTTTTGCCCCATTCTGAACCCCAATTTTTCCTAGAAGTCCCTTAATTAAATTGAGACGGTCTGTAATTGCGTACTCTAGAGGTTTCCAAGGTAATAAGAGAAAAAATAAGTTTCTGTAATGATTACACCGCCACCAGTTTTGACGTAAAACCACTAATTGTGCGCGCGATCGACGTGATGCTAATTTTAAGTGGGAGCTTCGCGATGCCAACTTATGAAAAAAAACACGTCGCGCTTACTATAAACATTACCCTTTCCAAAGGGTGTTACCTTCTGCACTTCTGGACACTACAGAGGAGAAGCGGAATTCAACAACCGTTATTTTTTAACAACCCTAAAATAATTTAATATGTGAGCAAATTTGATCTAGAGGAGAATTTTTATGAGAAAAACTTCCCATTAGGTTAAATTCAAGACGGGTGTCTAAGTTACACTAATTATGTGGTATTTTTAAACAAACAATAAAAATCAATTTTTCTTTTTGTTTCAAACATTTACACGCATCATATTAATTACAGTAAAGTTAAATTATATTTTAAATTATTTTTTATATATAAATAATTTTATAATGTTTAAAGCATTTACCATACATTATTCATTTATTTTTATATTTGTAACAATGTGGACAAATAAACAACAACAATAATAATAATAATAATAATTTATATCTTTTAAACTATATTAAAAACTCGCCCTTCATGGTCTGTGTGAAATATAAATGTCAATTAAATCTCTTCTTCATGATGATTGATTGTATTGTTAAAAATTAAGTTAAGAATGTCTATTTATTTGTAAAGCAAATACAAAATATTAAACGTGCAAAAAAATTGAATTTGTTTGCAAGGAATCATTGCCACGGCCAAATGGCAAGAATTTTGCTATAACTTCCAAGTCAAGAAGACTCCATCTGCTGCAGTGTGTCTTGTTTTGATTTCAATTTTTCCTTAGGAGGGAATTTTTATTTATACTTAATTGTTTTGCAAATAAAACAAATGTTAAATTATTTGTTTTTTAATTAGCATTTTGTGTAGGCAGCACAGAAACTGATGTCAATAGTTCCGATTCAATTCATAAGTCTATAAAGCGGGTGACAAAGTTTTTCTTTCCAAATCGCGAATCAGTGGAATTTCCTGCCGGCTGCGTTCAAAGCTCAAAAGTTAATCAGTTTAAAACTGCATGACCTGTTTGTTAACATTTTCCCCTTTTTCGGCTCCAGCTTAGCAAGACGGATTAATTCAGAAACAATAATTGTTCTTTCAAATTAAGCCTACGAGTTTTAGCCAATGTGATTTTTTTTAAAGAAACTTTTTTTACCTGTTGTGAGAGAATAAACGGGTTGAATTGAAATATCATTATTATTTCTGACTTAGTCAGGCTTTCTAAGAAATTATAATTCGCTTTTTTTATCTTTGCTTTTCAAAATTATCTTTGCAACCTTGTGGCAAAACGCACGTTATTATGCTCTTTAACTTAAATTATCAACGCCCTTTACTTTCCAAATCAATCCAAACTATAGTCGGTTTGGCAATGTTGCAAAATGCTTATAGTGAGGTATTTTGCAACATCAAAGAAAAATTTTAACACGTACTGACGTCACGACGGAAAATATTTTAATCCTCTCCGCATAGTTTTTTAACCACAATCTGCAGGGCGCTGTGGTTGCTGTGCAAAAAAATGCGTCGTTTCACGTAACGCTAATTTATTTTGTTTTGCGCAAAATACACGCATTTCATATTCAGACAAAGTCTCTCTGTAGCTTTATCGAATAACAAGTCCACATTATAAATGCTCGTCTGAACGCGTGCATAGAATTGTAATCGAGGAGCATGAAATTGTAACATTTTGCACATTTTTTGTAAACCACAAACAGGCTTTCAAAAAAAGATTTAATGGGAAAAATATAAAGTTACATTTAGTGATTTACTCTGGCAAAATATTACTAACAAATTCAACAATTGGAAGTGATTGATCTATCTTTCAAGTCAAGGTTATAAATTAATTGATTAGAAGATTTAATTTTAATCTGTAAGGAAAGGAATTCATGAGATATAAAAAGATTTATTTTTCACCATTAAAATGTGGCATCGGGAGAAATTAAAGTTTAAATTAATGCATAAGAGAAACCAATTAAATGACATAAAACATAATATATTTTTGACGTTGCGGTACAAAGAATCTCCTTGAGGAGCGCAGTTACAATACAAGCAATAAGTTAACTAACGCCATTTGAAATATATGAAAATTTAATCATGTTTTATAAAAGTAAAAATTGTGTTTTTTGTCAAGAAAATAAAATTAATTAAGTTATTGTTGTTAGGAAAAGGAGAAGTAAATTTATTTAAAAATTTAATTGATAAACTGGTTCAAAATAAATTAATATATGAAAATAATTATTAAAATTTAATTTTATAAAGTATTTATAAAATTGTGTGTTTTGTTTCAGCGGCAGTACCTTTGAGGGTCAATGGCAGAACGGCAAACGACACGGATTGGGTGTGGAGACTCGGGGGCGGTGGTTGTACCGGGGCGAGTGGACGCAGGGCTTCAAGGGACGCTACGGGGTGCGGCAGTCGGCAACTTCGAACGCCAAATACGAAGGCACCTGGGCCAATGGACTGCAGGACGGCTATGGCTCAGAAACCTACGCGGATGGCGGTGAGTAAAACGTCCTTTCATTATTATTATTATTATTCAAAATTTCCAAATTTAAGATTCAATTATTATTTTAATAAAAATAAGGAGATAAAAGATTGAAAATATTGAAATTGGAACTCTATGGAATGATTTTTTTTTTAAGTAAATTTACTTGGAAAACGGAGCACGGAGGCAATTTGATTACTGCGGACTTTCTTCTATATTGAATCGACATAACTCGCGTTCTTTATGAGCGCGTGAGTTGAATCGCAAAAGGTCTAATTTGCTCTCATTGATTGGCGCCGAGACGCACCGGGTGGCTACTTTTCTATAACAATTTCGATTCTCGTTTGGCCGGAAAATTACAATCGAAAGTCCGACCTTGACATTTTACCCTCTAAAAATTCTGGCGAAACAAGGTCGGTTTGCATTTCAAAAGCAGCGTGTATTATTCATCCTGGCACAAAATCCACACACAAAGCCTGCAAGCAAGGTCAATTGGCGGATGGAAATTTCGCTCTCATTATATTTGAAGGGGGAAATTTCTCAACTGGACGTGACAGGCAAATCTGCAAATGGCGCCTTCGCTGCTGCAGCAAGAAAGCGCTTCATATATTCTTTCTCAAATATCCGCAAACCTTGAGCTCTTCTCCTTTCGGTGCGGCACCTCGTTCGCTTTGTTTCCGAGCGCGGCTGCTGCGCCAATTTCGTACAACGGCGCAGATTGCCCGTCATTTCCGCGAACCGCGTGCGAATCCCGCCCCATAACCGTATAGAAATTTCGTCGCCCACAGCTTACCGAGAAGTGGCAAATTGTTTGCTTTCCGCACCCGTCAACAGGGGCGAAGGGATTAGGACCTGATTTAGACAGTCTCCGATGGCGCATCGTACGAGATAATCTAAAATTTATAGCGAAAATTGCTTTCTCCTCTCTATAAACTCCATTTCTGAATTTACGGCTTACGCACCGCACAGGGACAAATTTTTAATTTAAGCATTTTTGCTGAAGAACTTTTATTTTATTTATTTGTTAATAAAATTTATTCCGTCCGGAAAGTAATATTATTAACGTTTTATTTGTGTTCTTCACCTTCAGGAACTTTATTGAACCCTTTATTTTGCAAATATAAATCCAATATAAATAAAAAATTATCAGTTTTGGTGATTTTAATTTTTCTATTTGAATTTAATAATTATTTAAAAATTTTAAACGCTGGCACATTCTGGCAATGAAAGAATGCAAAATTCCGCATTAATTTACCTATAGTTTTACAATGTTATAAATATTTATTTTATAAGTTTTAAAGTTTATATAAATTATATATTTAAATTTAATAATTCTTAAAACATATAAAACGTTTATAAAACATTTTATATTAATTTTTTATTTGAATTTATTTTTTATATTATTTGGACTTTTTAATATTAAAAATTTAAAGTTAAGCTTTTAATCAATTTTAATACAACAACACTTATACTAAAAATGTATATATTGGTTCTCTTTACATGTTCTTAGCTTAAAATAGGTGTAAATCAAATATCTCGTTTTCGTCAACTTGGATGATAACTTTTTTTCTGATATTTGCTACATTTTAAATAATAATGAAACAAAATTTTCTCAATTTGAATTTTTAAACGAAGCGGATTGTTTTTACAAGTTGCGACAATTTGCATATCTGCTCAACACAAGAACAAACCTAAAATCGCACGGTTTTCTTGAAAGCTGCTGAAAATTTAGAAAAAAGAAACGAACCCTAGTTATGGTTCATCGAAATTATGCAGAAAATGATTAAGGCCGTCCAAATAAGCTTCCCGTTAATTTAGCTACAGAAATAAGCCTGTAAAAAAATCATCAAAACAGTTCCATTGGGGCTAATTTTTAAAATGAATTTAATTTTAAAATATGATTTTCACGTTGCATTTCATAATCTAAATAATTTTCTGACAAGTTTTTCACGACAAAAACTCACACAAATGAATATTAATACAGAGGGGGCAGGTGTGAATGACGATTTCGCGTGCGGCTGTTCTGCGCCAAAAGCCAAAAGCGCAGGAAGCAATTATGCGCGAATCTCGGCCACTTTCGGGGTTTCGTGCGCTCAAGAAGAAGCAATAGAATCGTCCGGAAGGAAGAAGATAAAATGGGAAAGGAGTGAAAAATAATCTACATAGAAAGGGTTATTAGTGCAAAGGCATTCGGTCGGCTGGCAACAGCTCTGCCCTGCTCTGCGCTGATGTATTACAATATTTTTATTGATTACCAGAAGCGCTGAAGGCTTTGCTTGCGCATTTTCGCCAAAACAAGCAGGCGGGCGCGAAAATCGGTTGGCTCCAATTTCGCTTTCGCACACAACTGATCGCTTTTTGGCAAACTTTTCCCGTGGATTTGCCGTCTCAACAGTTCTGGCACTCGATCGAACCTGATAATGACGTACTTGTGGAGCGCAGATGCTCGCAATTATTATTATATATGAGAAGGCCTTGCTCGGATTGATTTTCAAAGTTGTTACGCCGAGAAGGTTAAACTAAAAAAATTGCACGACCTGCTTCCAAGGAAGCTTTAAAGATGAAAATTGCAAGCATTTTTGAAGCTTCTTTTAATTAATTAAAAAATTATATTTGCAGAGATTTTGATTGGCTTGACGACAAAAACGTTGAGTACGACAAACTTCACAAAAAGTTGACGGTTGTAAAAGGAAAATTAATTATACTCAACGTTCAATTTAAGCTAGAATAAATGCAGCTGAAAACAAAATTAAAATTTATTCAGATTTTTAAGCATTTCCTCCGATATTAAAAAAATTCTCAGCTTTAGTCTATTTATGCTGGTTTTCATGTGATTATTGTTGCTGTCTTCTATGATATGAGATAGTTAAGGTAGTCATAATTTTTTTTTTTAGTTGTAACAAATGAGTAAGATTACCATTGAAAATCATTTAAATTTTGTCACTTTATCTCTAAGAAATAATATAACATTACAAAAGAAAATATTTTGTAAGAATAATGTATAAAAGAAAAGCTGATAATTTTGCTGATTAATGTTCTCAATTGCAAAGTACCTAAACATAATCTTAATCCAGCAATAATAATTGTGGAAAAATGAGATTATTTCGTCCTATAAATTATAACTAATAAGGCAATATACTTTTATGATCTCGGTTAAATTAACAGAGAATTTTTTATCTATTGTAGAATTTAAAAGAGCATATTCATTATTTGAGCTTCTTTTTTGTCTTTGCATTTTCATCCACCGAAGTCGGACGATGATAATACAATTCAATTAAGGTGCGGTTGGTCAACCGCGCGAAAATCGATGCCAACGCTTTGATAGAGCTCGTCGCACACATGAATTGATCAGATAAGCCCCTTACAGGGCGCAGGCTGCGGCGCGCGTCAGGCAGATGGAAAAGAGTAATATCGTGAAGTTGCAGCGAAAGAGGAAATCCTCCTTTGAGATGCTTATATACTCGAGAGGAGACGTCCGTATGAATAAGAACAAGTTTGAAAAGCGAGACGCAAAAGGGGCAAAAAGGAAGAAGAAGAAGCTTTCGATTCGATTATTATACACTCCGCCGGCGGAGACTTCAAAGGAATAATTGAAGGAAAAAAACGTGTTGCTCGCCGCACGCGCCGATACCAAAACGCCTCCACTGCAGTGCTATATTCGCGGAGAGAAAGAGGCAAATTCAAACCAGCCAAATGGAAATAACGTTTAAATATTTTTTCCCATTTCTTTGCTTCCTTTTGAGCACAATTTCTCACATTTATAAAAATAACTATAAAAGGCTCACATTTAAAATAGTTATTGATTTGTTAACAAATTTAGTATTTTATGAGAGTAAAGAAAACAGTCTTTGTTTTTATAAAAAAATTAATTATTTTATATTAATTATTATAAATTTTAATGTATATCAAGCATTTTATTTTATGTTTCGTAGAAAAATTCTTATTATTACAATATTTATTTATATTTTATTTATTAATATAATTTTTCGGCTTTAAAATTTCATTTTTAATGCAGGAATCAGCTGTATCTATAAATTTTGAAGACATTAAGGCCTCCTTATTGACATCAACAACTCCTGGTTGCGGAAAATCGGCCCGAAATTTTTGGACCCAGATTTTTTTTATAGATTCCTGCCCACCAGTGGAGTTGATTGCACAAAGAAAAATGGGGGGTCGCGCGGATTAATCTTGATATATGATTTTTTGAAATTTAACATGGCGTTTTAAGGAGATTTTTGTTTTTGGCGATTAAAAAAAATCTGCCCGAAAGTTTTTGCTAAAAATTGCATAAGATGATAATTGAATGACCCTAAACAGATTAGCAGAAAAAAATTGGGGGTTCATGGGGCGAAAATTTTACATTGGGCATATGTGAGATCAAAAAAACCTCTTTGGTACTTTTAGCATTGCAATAAGGAGTCCTTAACGCACACAATATCATATAAAAAATTTCAGTGGAGATAGTTTTCAAATTGTCACATTGACGATATTGTGGATTCACAAATTTTTAATTTATGCCTGTAATTGTCATTGCATAATCGGAAACTGCAAAATTACAAAATAAAAGAAGTTGTGAAATGAATAATTTTCAGAATATTATAATTGTAACAAAAGCGAGCTTGGAAGTTTTATTTGCTCTTGCAAAAATCATGCAATATGCAAAATTTAAACCAACAATTCAAAACTTTCTCCTTCCCTCTCGATGCTTAACGAGGTTTGATTTTCCGCAATCTTGACTCGATTTAAATATCCAATGAGCAACAAAATCGAGTCTTGTGTGTGTACTTTGTGAGGAAAACAAACAGCGAAACCGAACGAGAAAATTGAAAGCAAGCTGAGCCGGGCAGTATTAAATTTGAGTGCGGCGGGGGTGCCATAAAAATAAAATCTGTGTCCCCGGCCGCACACTCGACCTTTCGCCACCCGAACTCTTGGCATTGATGGCAAAATTGCGTCTTCGCTGGTGCGTGCGTGTGTTATTATGCTTGGACTGTTGCCGCCATGTATATCAACTG